CTTGGGTGCACCACTTGGGTGCACATCTTGGGTGCACCACTTGGGTGCACATAATTGGGATTGGGTGCACCACTTGGGTGCACCACTTCGGTGCACCACTTCGGTGCACATACTTGGATTGACATACTTGGGTGCCCACTCCGGTTGCACGCATGTGCCTGAGGAACACCCGGTGGGGAGTCCGGCAGGGCACAGGTCAGGTCAGGTAGGAGGCGACCCTCGAGAGGAGAGATCGCGAGCGGGATGGGCCGAAAACACCGGAAAGACCCACCACACCAGGGCGGCAGGGTGGCGGCCAGCAAGGGCCGAGACGGCACCCCGCGGCTGCCTGCTGTGCCTGGGGTGCCGGGCGAGCTCAGCACAGGAGGTCGCAGTCGCAGGCCAGGCGTCGGCGTCAGTCTCCGCTCAGCCAGCAGCCAGCTCAGACCTCAGACCTCACCTCCAGCCCAGCCCAGTCGGGGTCCGTCGCCATACCAGCACCAGCACACGTCACAGCTCACGCATCGTCGCAGCTCCGCAGCTTCAAAGAGAAGGTAAGGCCGTGTCTTCCACCACGCCGATCTGGCCCGTGGTCTCGTGCAGTGCGCCTGTGAGACGGGCGGGTTTGCCCACTGCACTCCCCTTCTGACGCCCGGTGCGCTGACGCCCGGTGCGCGGTCTGGCTATTCCACTCGAGAGAGTTCAGCTAGTGCGCTATTATTTCATACGTCATTATTGCTATATTCACTTAAGCGGTCATATGCGAGAGCGTACTCGAGAGCGTAAAGCGTGAAGCGCAAAGCGCAGCCAAGCGGAGTGGGGGTACGCTCCCCGACTTAACATTGGCACATATTTTGCATGACATCTTCTTAAAAAGGGTCACATATCAGTACGGGAGAGTCCGAATGTATGACAAGTCCAGAAAATGCTTTTCAACACTCGTCAAAACCAAATGTGCACCAAGATGAGGTTAGGGCACGTACCACCACTCCGCTCTTTTACGCCAGCGGCTGCGCTTTACGCTTTACGCTCTCGAGTACGCTCTCGCATATGACCGCTTAAGTGAATATAGCATATGAACAAATTTAGAGAAATAATTCGATGCCTCCTAAGGACAAAGTTCGATCTTCAACGGCACGGTTACACAAAGTTCGATCTTCAGCGGCCCTGTTACACAAAGTTCGATGTGCAGCGGCACGGTTACACAAAGTTCGATCTGCTTTTCGCCGCTCGCGGGAGTCGCAAGTTTAGACCTCTACCACAGTCTTGTTGCGATAGCATCCAATTTTTTCTTTGGAGTATGTTGTTCTTTGATCTTTTACAAACATGAAGCAGTTTTTACTTTTTTTCTATCTGCGATATTGTCGAGAATATGAATACATTTAGGCTGCGCTGCAGAAACCGCCGGAATGTAGATCGAACTTTGTGTAACCGGGCCAACGCAGATCGAACTTTGTGTAACCGGGCCGCTGAAGATCGAACTTTGTGTAACCGTGCCGCTGAAGATCGAACTTTGTCGTTAGGAGGCATCGAATTGCAGCTATGAGAAAGTTTGTCCATAACTGCTTTAAAAATGATACCCAAATAGCGCACGTTTACAGAAATGCGTTGTAAAACATTTCATGAGATTTTAATGCGTGCACTTCAAGTCAAACAGGCCTTTTAAATTTGTGCTACTTAGCGAACGGTATGACAAATGTTCCCCTCGCGGTACGCAGCTGGCTAACCTAACCTGCTTTGTATCTCCGTTTTGCAGTATGGACGGCAAAAGAAAGAGGATCGCCTCGTCGCAGAGCAGCAACGGGCGGCCGAACAAAACACGATCGTCGCAGGGGCAGTCGAAGAAGGCCGCAGGTGACCTGAAGGCCAGCCAGCAGCCTGGCCCGCCGGCCGTCCTCAAGTGCTCCATCGACCCCGTAGAACGTGGTCACGATGGCATGACTGCGGGCGACTTCACCCTCCGCCTGGCCTTCTCCGAGGACGAGCTCACGGCCGACGACAGGAGGGTCATCGTCAAGGCCTTGAAGGGCAGCAGGATGGTGTGCGGCGTGCTGGAGGAGCGTCACGGGGTCGCCAAGGCCAAGGGCTACCCCAGGAGCGCGGCCAGGGGCCTCGGCCCGCTGGTGCAGCGGCTGCCCGCGGTCGCCGAGGGGCAGGTGCTACCCGAGGGCACCGTCCTCTTCCTCCCGGTCAGGGCGAGGGCCAAGTACTACGTGCTCGAGAGGACCGTGTGCACCAAGACGCACGTGCGCGACGAGGCGCGCGTCCTGGGCCACGTCACGGAGCGCATGAAGGCGTTCACGTTCATCCTCTGCGACGGAACGTGCGAGGGCGAACCCAACCGGTTCTGCGACTGCGAGAACGAGTCGGACTGTGAGTGCGACGACGAGGCGACCTGCAGGTGCGACGACGCGGGCGAGACGACATGCGAGTGCGTGCTGGACGAGGTGCGCTTCGAGGGGGGCAGCGGTAGCCCCGCCACCGGCGAGGCTACCTCTTCCTCCGAGTCCTTCTTTGACTCTGAATCCGACTGACCCGCAGAGGAGAGGGTTGGCAGAGCATTGCAAAAAGGCCTTCTCTGACCTAAGCGGCTAGAGACGGCCGCCGGTCAGAGGAGGCCTTATTCCAATGCTCTGAGGGTTGGCCTCCCAGCCGTGTGGCAGAACGTGTTGCTATAGACCGCGTGAATGTAGCTAGATTTCGACATTTGTACATATAAGCCCATGTACTTTTTAATTCGAAATACATATATACTGCGGTTTTGTACCTCCATTTCTTTTGGTTTATTGGCGCTTTCCTTTGGCCTATATACCCGCGCACGGCGTACACGGGTCGACGAGAGAAACAATATCTAGCGACAACACAACACCTGCAAGTGTAAGGCGTTCACTCACATGGGTTTTTTTTTTTTTTCAAGCGCACGAGCAGGCACGAGCAACACACGGCGGCGGTGGGGAGTCCAGGAGGGAGCTCCCCCCCCCCCCAAAAAAAATAGTTTTGCGCGAGGTTTTGCACTTATTTATTGGGCGCTGCTTTGAGCCCGAACCCGCGCACGGCGCTCGACTCCGCGGGGAGAAACAAAATGAAACACTACTTGTGGTCGCGTGAATCTACTGGCTAGATTTCGACATTTGTACATGTAAGCTCATGGATGCACTTTTTAAAATCCGAAATACATTTGTCTACTGCGGTTTTATGCCTACACGTTTTTGGCTTGTCGGTATCGACACCAACACAGGTAGCCTGGGGCGTTCACTCACGATGGGGTTTTTCAAGCGCACGAGCAACACAGGGTAGGGGGAAGCCGGGAAAGAGGGCCAGAGGGCCCCTCGCCCCCCGGTCGGAGCCTCCCCAGCAGGTCCCAGGTCAGGTTGGCGACGAGCGAGATTGGCCGCGGAAAGACCCAGGAGGGTGACGCGGCGCCGCCGCTGCCGAGATCCACAGCAGCGGACGAGCTCAAGCTCAGGCTCAGCTCATCGCAGGCCAGGCCAGACTCAGACCAGACCAGGGTTGCCAGACCGGGCGATTTTGCGCCCGCCGGGCGATTTTTGGTGACTCCGGGCGCACTTTTAAGGTCCAAATGCGCCCGGGCGATTTCCGGGCGATTTTTATTTTGAACCGGGCGATTCGGGCGACTTTCCGTTTTTTTGGTGTTTTTTGATGTTTTTTAGGCCTATTTCACCCGTTTTCGAAGGAAATGTGTAAAATGCCGATGTAAGGCACGATAACAAAGCATAATTACCAACTTTATGCAAATTTTTGTGACAAAACACCCTTAGACAAGCTGGAATTCCCGGAAAATCCCGGGCGCCAGCCGGGCGATTTTTGAATACCCCGGGCGATTTCGGGCGTTTTCGGGCGATTTCATTGGCCGAACGGCTCCGGGCGCACTCGGGCGCACTTCGCGCTCGGCTCGGGCGACTTGACTCGCTCGGCTCCTGGCAACCCTGGACCAGACTGTCAGACGTCCGTCAGTCTCAGCTCAGCAAGCAGCCAGTAAGGACCTCAGCTCCAGCACAGTGCCCAGTCCCAGTCGGAGTCCATCTCGAGCACGCGTTGAGTCACATTCGCATCGTTGCAGTCCCAGACAGAAGGTAAGCTTAGGTACCACTCACGTCAGGAGAGCTTAGAGCTAACGGCTCGATATATTTAGTACGATGGCACGTTTGTGCAGTTTGATCTGCAGGAGTAGTATCGAATGGACTGCTACCGTGAGCTAACTTCTGTTTTCCCCTCGTTTAGCGCAGAATGAACGGCAGCAGAAAGAGGAACGCGTCGCCGTCCGACACCGAGCGATCACACGGCAAAAGCAAATCGGGGCAGACAAACGCTACTTGTGATGATAACAGGTAAGGCCACTGTGGAAAATAGTCGCAGGTTGACGGGACGTTTTCCATGATGTGTGTCGTAAAAGTAAAATTTGAAATATTGTAAATTTACAAGCACTTCGTATCGAATTGATCAAAAAGGAAAAGTGGGTTACCGCAAATTTACAACATATTTTGTTGGCTGAGCGATTAGCGAAGCCTATTACTCCACTGATGATCAAAAAGTTTCGCGTCTGTTTGTCTGTCTGTCTGTCTGTGTGTGTGTCTGTTTGTCTGTACGCACGATAACTCAAGAACGAATTGAGCTAGCGACCTGGGATTTTCAGGGTCGTTTT